GGAGTATTTTGGCAAGAAGGTCCATTATTATGGATACATTTATCTTATTCTCCTAACACTATTCTTACTAGGTATCCTGAGGCTGTAGGACAATTAATACTCAAAGAAATAAAAGCAGCAAAGAGAGTGTTTGGAATTTCTCCTAATAAAATTATTACTCCATATACTATGGTCAGATTAATGAGTTAGCTAATGAGTTAAATACTTGGGCAATAATCATATGCAAATCTACTTGTTCATTTGATAATCACCTACCATCCAATACTTTGTTGTCTTTTTGTCCTCGCATCCTGTAGTTTTTCCAAAAATGACAAGAAAAACACCTATCATGAATGCTCCAATAATATTTACAGATGGGTCAAATAATGATACAGCAGCAGTAGTTACCCCTAAATCAAGCTTTTACATTTTTAGTACCCGAACAATCAGCTCAAAAAGTAGAGCTTAATGAATATTACAAGCTTTTGTGATGTTTAAAGATTCTGTATTTAATTTATTTTCTGACAGTCAATATATAGTTAATGCTATAATATCCCTTGAAGTTGCTGGTAGGATTTCCCCTTCCTCTACTGTTTACTCTTTGTTTTCCACTATACAAAGTCTAATCTGGAACAAAAAAAGATCCATTCTTCATAGGACATATCAGGGCACATACAGGATTGCCTAGGGCCCTTAGTTTGGGCAATGATTTAGCAGATAAAACTACACATGACATACACGTTTTTTCAATACTAAAAGAAACTACAAATTTTTTCAAATCCTTCCTAGTTAATACTAATACATTACAAAAGCATTTTAAAATAACTAAGGATCAAGCTAGACATATAATAAAGCAATGTCAAAAGTGTGTGACATTTCACCACAAGTTAATCTTGGAATCAATCATAGAGGACTGATACCTAATCATATATGGCAAATGGACGTCACACATTCGCCAGAATTTGGAAAATTAAAATATTTGCATGTCATAGTTGACACTTCTTCCGGATACTTGATGGGCTCCCTTCATAATGGAGAAAAAAACTAAAGACATTATATCTCATTGCTTACAAAATTTTGCCACTGTGGGCATTCCAAAACAGTTAAAAACAGATAATGGCCCTGACTATACTTCTACTTCTTTCAAGCAATTTTGGTCATCATTTGGCATTACTCATATAACAGGTATAATCCACAGGGACAAGGCATAGTTGAAAGAGCCCATCAAACTATTAAAATGTACTTACTAAAACAAAAAGAAGGAATAGGGAAGGGATATAAATCCCCCAAAGATAAACTTAACATAATCCTTTTTACTCTAAACTTTTTAAATTTGGATTCATCAGGACTTAGTGCTGCGGAAAGACACATGTGTCCAAAAAATGTACTTTGGAAGGATATTCTAACTGGACAATGGAAAGGTCCTGACCCAGTGATTGTCTGGAGTTGGGGGTCTGTTTGTGTGTTTCCACAGGGAGAACAGCAGATGATTTGGATTTCACAGAGACTAACCAAAGCGATTTCTAAAGATCATTGGATGAATTCACAGGCCAGGCCTTCCTCAGAGATTTGGTGTGAGGAACTTGGGACTCTATGTGGAGAGAGCCTTCAGGCCCTAACAGGGCAGCTGTGGAGCTGTGAAGAAGAATGACTGTTGCTGCCCCTGAGCCTAGTGCCCGTGACCTGCTCTGTGATCCTCATAAGTAATGTCTGATGTTCACGCCTGCCAGAGAGTAAGGGAGAATGATTTCCAACGTCTTTTCTGTGGCTAACCTTCATGACCGTGTGTTTTCACCAGTTAGTTCTTCCCATTAGAACTTCTGGATCTGAACTTGAGAGCCAAGGTTAGGCCTTGCTGGAAATGATGCCCGAGATGTCCAGTTGCCCAGCTCTGCTGCACTGATAACAGTGTGTAAAGCCTTGTTGGTGGGCTGTGGGATAACCCTTACCAAGGCCTTTGTGTTCAATGGTGGGGGTGGGATTTACAAATTGCTCATGAAAAAACATAAATAAAATACACTTATTGTGTTTAGATTATGTTTGTTTTGATAGAAAATCAAAACAAACATAATCTAAACATAATCAAAACTGGGACTCTGTCATGTAACCTTGAACATTTATGGCTTTTGTCACTATCTTATGTAGATTTCAAGTCCTTTGAGTATAGACTGAGGAGTAAGGTGAAGGAGACTAATACTACATGGCTCCACTGCGTGATCTCCAAATTTAGTGAACTAAAAGCAGTCACAGGTAGAGTGTATTTGGACTATACCTTCATTACAAGCTTATGGAGAAAATTTTCCTAACACCTACCAGGGGCCAGTGAGTGAACAGTCCAGTTCAGTTCTAAATGTATCCTAGAAAACTTGTACCTTTGTTTGTGTCACTCTTGACAATAGTGCTTTAAATATGGGGAAACTGGTGAGGGGAAAACCCAGGGTCACTTATAGGAGAAGAGGACACTGTGTCCCAAGTCTCAGTCAATTCCTAGCCACTCATTACACCTCAGCTCAGGTAAAACCATGGGGTAAATGTGAGTGGAAAAGAGAGCTCAGAATATATCCTTCCTTTCACCATTGATGTAAGTTTTAAAAGTCCCAGACAGAGCAATTGTTATTTATGATGTAAACATCACCAGGAAGGAAAATAAAACTACTCTGGAAATTACACTCCTCCAGATCCTCATAATAACACAATCTGGAGATGCACGTAAAGAAAAGGAACCTAAGTGCTGCTACATTTTATTTCTTGTTTTGAAAATGAGAAACAATTCTGGGAGATATTCATCTTACACTGGTAGACTTCTCTCTGTGTAAAATTATACATGATTTTTTAAATGCTGGGATGTGACAAAGTGAATAGGGAAATTCCAGTCATTTTTCAAGCAAGTGATCAGAGAAGCATAATATAGGCTCCAGAATGAAGAAACAGGTTTTAAATTCTGTCAGAGCTTTGTAGGTACACATAGGAGTTGCATTCATGCAGAGAAACCCACCCATGTGTGGAAGTTTATTTCCCTTCCTGATCCCCCTTCCCCGAATGCCCCCTCCCCCTCCATTCTCTTCCTGTAACCAACTAGAATTCCTTTTGCTCCTCAATTTTCTTATATTTCATTGGTTCTCTATGTTATCCTCTCCTCCCCGCCCCCTTTTTCCTGTAGAAGTGGTTTTTATGTGAAGAACCCCCCAGTCCTGAACATGTCCCAGGACAGGAAAACCATCACAGTGTCCATGCAAGATCCTGGATCTGTCAGAGGTTACTCCCATGGGAACAGCTCTTTGGGGAAACCCGCCATCTTCTCCTGGTAAACTTTATCAAAGGYTTCAGCTTGGGCCACTGTGAGGTGATTCTTCCAGTCCCCACAGATGCCTGGAAAACATGAAGTAGACGCATATCAGATCTAGGGATAGGTCTTCAGACGGCTACCTCCTCCCTGCTCTCTGTAGACAGCAGAGTGACCCCTGGGTCATTGGTGAGGCCTCCTCCTGCCTGGCCACCATGCGCATTTCCCCTTCTCCCTGTCTGGAAAGTGTGTCCTGACTGCCCTGCTCTCCCAAACCATCCTGCAGGGAATACGCAGGTAGCGATCCTGACTATAAATCAGAACATCTGGACTGGAACTAAGTCTGACCACTTGCTTTTTGAGCCCTTTGGCCCAAGCTAACAAAATTTGTGACCTGGGTGATGAGAGCAGGTCACACCTAGTCTCTCTGCTTTGGCTAATCCTTGCGATCTCTTGTTATCTACAACGAAACCATGTTGACCCCATGCCAAATCCAGTGGTGCCAGTCCCTGTGGCTCAGTCTCCCAGGAAATCCAGTCTCCTTTAGCCAAGTTTCCTGGTGCTTTGAGGTCTAGGTGTAGGGTCCTTGTTGGTTGGGACTCCATCCCTGGGACTGTCCATTTGCTCTCTCGGCTCCATGACACAATCTTCTGATTGAGCTTCAGACATGCCAGGCTGCCCCCTCCTCAGGGTGTTTACCTTTCCTGCTCCTTACCCCAGAGTGCTGTCCTAGCAGACACCTCCACCTCTGTCCATTGGCCTCACTCATATGTTTACTCCAGTGCAGTGACTCAGTGGGGCTCTCAGCTCAGAATCCTACAGCTCTATCCTCGTTGAAAGCAATGATCAAACATGAGATTTTCTGTGTACTTCCTTTTTGAATGTGTATAAGGTATGCATTTCTAACATATTAAGGTATGAAATCATTTTCACAAATTGCCTAAGAATTTACTGCTTAAAGGCATTACACCATATATGCTCAAAAAATATTTTTTGAAAGTACTGATAAAGAATGAGGAATAGAGTAGCATAATACCCTGTTTCACAGTCAAGAATTTTAAAAAGTCCCTGGAGGGGTTACCCAGTGACTGAGTAGTGGTGATGGAATAGGTGATAAGCTATGAACAGGATTCTTAGCTTTACTTATGTGATTAGAGCATTATTTGTCATATAAATTGATTTTCACATAGCAGACCAATCTAATTAAGTAATAAAATCATAACCCTAACTAACCCAATGTATGATAGGCATGTAAAGAGTACAAGCAGATGAATATAAAGTAGCAGCCTATGTCATAGGTCATGGCTGTCCTAATACCACACACGACCTCTATTTTCATAGTTATCTTCATTAGTGGAATAATCTTTACTGATTTCTTCTGCTCAGCCTGGGCTTCTCCCCAAGTCCCTTCCCCATCTCTGTTTTATGGATCTCTGTTCCAGGCTCACTAGGTGGCAGGAATACTGACCTCCTGAATATCCCTTCAAGCATTTATTATATTGATTCCATGGGTCACCATTTCAGATCCATGTGAACTGGAGGAACTTTGCAAAACAGGTCCTGCCACTACTTGGAACAGACATTTTCAATAGGCCTGAACCACAGGGTGGGGACATGATTCATCTTTCCTCACAGGAAGGAGGCCTTACAATGTCTCATAGCWAATGCCCTCCTCTCTACTCTCTCCAATCSTGTCTTTCTTTGTGTCTCTCTCTCTTTAGGGCATTGCTCTGTGGCAAGTCACCAGTGGAGTGGCCCAGACACCACCATCTCCAGAACCCCCTCCTCCCCAAGACTGAGTCAGCCTTCTCCAGGTACCTGCAGCCCACCCCAGTCCCATGAACACAGCTTTCCTGAAGGAAACGAGAGGCTCTGGGCCATGAAGGATTCAAGTTGAAATGTCCCAACACCTGCATTCTTAGTGCCAGGGGTAAACACAAGATGCCCACGTAGTCTRACCCATTCTGAAWCCAGGGCATTTACCTTTTCTTGTAATTARGAAAGGCCTMGTAAATAAAGYTTCCGGCACCATTTCAAAGTTGGACATCTTGTTTTGTTTCATGACTTGGAAGGAGCTGTTCTTGAGGACTGAGTCCAGTTCTTCTGGACTCAACTTCTTTCCCAGGAACTGACAGATCCTCTCTATGGTGCTTCTTGGGTCCTACATGTGAACATGAAGAGGGAAGCTATGAGCGGGCAGGAGAGCAGGACCTGGAGGATGGGAAGGGGTGTTAGGAGCGATGTGGGGAGGAAGAGGAGGGGAATGACATCAGGATGGGAGAAGCCTGCTGGGGACGCCAGAGGAGGGAGACAGACACAGGGCCAGCAGAGGGCGTGAGGTATGAGGTGACCTGAAGATCACAGGGGCTTCCCAGGAGGCTGAGTCAGGACACCCCAAAGGCAGGGGCTGGGGTTTCCAAGGAGACGCCTGAGATTTCAAACTAAGGCAGGGAGACAAAGTCCCCAAAGGCTAATCCTCACCCCAAGTGACCCTGCGTCCCTTGACTGACACTTAATAACACACAGGGCTTTACAATATCTCCTTAACTTGACCCCATGGTTATCGATGGGTTTTCATAGGAGATCACAGCAAGGGAACAGGTCATTATGAGAAGAGAGGATTTCCTTGGGGACCTAGACCTCCTGTCAGTACCATAGTCCTTTATTATAGTGATGTTTTCAGGAGCCCCAGTCACTGAGGGACAAGAAGACCCCACTGTGGCAATGATGTAAGAACATGTTGTTGGTTGGAGAGGAGAATCACAGGGAGTGTGCAGCTTGCTGCTGAGGTGGCTGAAGGTGGCACCAAGGCTCCTCCCTGAGGACTGACCTCATGCTGAGGACACAGCAGAACAGGAAGCAGCTGCAGGAAGGTGACCAGGGTCCCTTCTCCAGGGGAAACAGATGCCTGAGCCTGTGCCACCTTCTCTGTCCCCTAGACACACCTCAGGAGAAGTGTTTTCTAAGCTCTGCTCACTCCTTTACATTTTGTTCATTTTTGACCACTTCTGAAAATGCTTCTAAATATTTTAAAGCTTTCTGTTCCGTCTGGACCTGTGAGCCTCCCTCAGAGCCCTGTGCATCTCTGTGCTGATCATGGGCAGTTTTCTCTGCACCAGAAGAAAAATAGCGTTAGTCTAAGTACCTGCTCAAAGTGTGACAATCCAGTCAGTGTAGGTGGCACATCTGCAAACTCAGATGACAGTATTTATTTTCTATTTTGAAATATATACTTAGTTACTGTTCCCAGCTGTACCCTGCACCCACCACCAGGGCTGAGCTCATCCCTAGGCCCTGCCTGTTACTCCAGCCCCTGACCCCTCACAATAGTCACCCAAAGTGGCACCTCACATTCATGTCACTTTGTCAGTCAAGGGGGAAGCCAGAAAGGTGGACCTA